TCGCAGCCTCATGAGGACCTGCACGGGGAGGCAGTGTGTACTTGGGAGGGACCCCTGAACTGGATGATAGGAAACCTGGGACTCAACCATGGCATTGGTTAAGGCCCTTGACCTCTCTCTTTTCTGCCAACCAAACGGGAATTCATGAGAGCAAATGGAGGTAACAGATGGGAAAGGGCTTTGAGATCTTGGGAATAAAAGCACAGTGTGTACACATGAAGTAATATATTTTCAAGGGAATGTCTGTCCCTTTGGGAAAAAATGATGCATGGAAAGAAATGTGAAGGGATAGGTGATAAACATTACACCAGCGCCCAGACCAAGAGCATCACATCACCAGGGAATTTGTTAGAATTATGTCACGTTAGGCCTCATCCAGACCAACTGAATGAGAAAATCAGGAAGCAGAGCCCAGCATTCTGTGTTAACCAGCCTTCCAGGTGATTCTGGTGCGTGGTAAGGCTTGAGAACTGCTGGCTCAGCCTTTCCCTCTGATTCTGTAACTTAGGGTTAGGGCATTTCTATTTTGAGAGGTGGTTATCAAGGTGACTTTTGACCCTTTTTCTTGGTTGAAGCCAGGTGCCCTGCTGGGGAAAGAGGAAACACTGTGTCCCCAGAGTTCATAAGAAAAGGAAAAAAGTCTACATTGTCTATTATTTTTGACAGTTGCAGAAGAAATTGCCCTGGAGAGCTTATTAAGAAGGACGCAGGCCTGAAAGAGTCCCCCTCCCTCTCCCGCAAAGGTACTGGTGTGTTTGCCTCCCCTCCTGCCCTGGGGCCTGCTTCTTCTCAAGCCAGTCCTTAAAAGGAGCAGTGGGCGCCACATTTGTTCTTTCTGGTGCCAGGTCTGCGCTATTTCACTTCCCCAGCGTCAAGTGGATGCTTAATGAGAGGCTGTGACGCAAGGCCCAGCCGGCTTGAGAGCAAGCAGCCTGGGTCCCCTTTCTGCTGGCTCCTCTCACTCCCTTTCCCAGCCCGGCGTTCTCCCCCTCTGTGAGGTTGTGGTCACCCTCTGTCAGCCCTTCCTCAGAAGCCCTGATAACCCTTGCTCCGAACGAGATGCTCGTGGGGTCTGTGGGCACTGATAAATGACTCAAGAGGCAGAAGTGAAGTGATGCTTTTGGTTTCTCCTATTCCCTTTATTGCCTCCTTCCCATTTAGTTCCCAAAATAAGATACGGCCACATGGGGACTTTTGCCATTTCCTTTGTTCTTTTGGGGGTTAGTGCCATCTTTTCCTGTTACTCCTGTCCCCGAGGCCAGCATTAGGGTGGAGTTGACTGGTGGTGAAACCTTCCAAACTTGTGCCTTGTTAGATAGCTGAGGATCCCCAATTACCTGTCCCTTGACTATGAGAAAACACAGTCATGCTGCTCCTTTAAGTGACAAAATTTAACTTTGGGGGTCATGGAGCAAACTCCACAGGGAGTGTGTTTCTGGGCAAAATATTAAAGATGCAGAAACTGTGGTGTGAGTTTGTAAGATTGCTGCTGATACAAACAGAAGAAAAGAAGAATGCTTCTGAGCTGTGAGAGCCAGTGTGCAGAGTTAAGGGTGAGCTGTAATAGAGCCAGGGGACAAGGACAGACGAATTCTCCCTGCAAAAGCAGGAGCACTTCTCGAGGCTTTTAACTCCACTGGACCACCCAAGGGGATTAAAAGAAGCTAACTGTCCTGGAAGGCTGGATAAACTTTACAAAACAAACATCCCTTGTGAAGACAAGGCTAGAATACAGGTAAAAGAAAGATAGAAAACAAAGTAGACAGAGATCACACCAAATAGCTACTTCATTTATTCAACAAATATTTACTGAGTGCTTTCTGTGTGCCATGCTACCGTTAATAGAGTGTCTACTGCGTGCTGGGTATATTGTGTGTGCTGTTATCTTCCATTTTCTCAGCAACCCTTCAAGGTAGGTTTTACTAGCCTCATTTTGCAGAAAAGGAAACTGAGGCTTTTAGAGGCTAAAAGTGACCAATGTCACCCAGCCAACAGATGGCTGGCCTAGGGTTCAGATACAGTCTGTTGGCTTCCAGGCCTATGCTTGTTCTGCTCTGCCACGCTGCCTCTCATCAACACACACACCTTTCTTGCACTCTGAGTTTCTGCGTTTTCCTTCTGCCAAGGTGAGATGGGCCTGGGATGGAGAAGCCTCTGCCTCATCTGCCCTCTTGCTTCGAGGCCTTGGGCAAAGCTGTCATGTCCTCTGGCCCCTTGCTACTTTTGTGTGCCCTCCTCTCTGTCCCTCCAGCCCTGTGCCTGTGTTCCTGATAGCCTTGTTGAATGAAGACCTTTCTACCTTTGAAGAATAGTCTGATCTGTTGGTTAGAGAGGAGAAAGGCATACAAGAGGAAGGCTCCCAGCCAGGCCTTTCAACAAAGGAGCCAGAAAGATTCAACCAGCTTCCATGACCCCGAGGTCTGTGGAGGGGTGTCTAACTGCACTTCTCCCTGCTCCATACCTGGTTCCATCCTAGAGCAGAAGGGTGGCCACAACCTGGACGGAGAGCTGGGGCTCACTACCATAGCCATTGCTTGCCTTATCTCCAGGAAGAGCTCTCCTTTTTTTGAGAAAAGCTCAATATTATTTGCCTGTACTACAATCTTCCTGCAGTGAAGACACCCCATCCCGGTCTCTATTCTCTCCAACACCTAGTGACTCCTGTAACATCCATCCTAACATCCTTCTGGATGTTACCCCATGGAGTGAAGCCCTATTTCTCCACAGCCCTTCTCCCCAGCCTTCTCTCCTGCTTAGGTTCCATTGTGAGGGCTGAACCAGAGCTCTACCCAACCTCCATATCTCCATCCTGTGGTCAAACATGAAGGCACATCTGTACAGTTGGTGACACTGAGGGTTTGGGAGCAGACTGTTAATCTTAGAATTCAAATCCTTGATCACAATCATTTTAGGAGATATCAGGATTTAAGGTCTGTGCCTGAACCTGCTCTACCCCAGCCCCATCCTTTGGGAGTCATGGATTCCAGGGCCTGTGCCACACTCCAAATTCATATACCTACGACTGGATGGTAAGAGGAAAACTTGAGCTTGGTATCTTCACCCTAGCCTAGGCATGTCTCCTGTGCACAGGAATGTTTCCAAGCCTTTCTACGATTCTTCTGATCAACCCCTCATCAAACTCTTCCACCCCCTTCATCCCATCCCACTCCTGACCAGATTTCTCACTATGCACTAAAGGAAGTTGACACCATCCTCTCTCTACCCTCTAAAGAATCTTCTGCAAGAGTCTCAGCTTCCCAGCCAACTCTGAAGCAAGGAAGTCCCCCCCCCCACATCTCCTACATAGCCAGCAACCCACCCTTAGAGTCTAGAGTCTGTCTTCGCCTTCAGCCCTCCATATATTCTAGTCCAAACCCTTACTACTCAGAAATTGTGGTCCAGGAACCAGCAGCACAGGCCTTACCTGGAGTCTATTAAAAATGCAAACTCTCAGACCCTCCCCAGACCTACTGAATTCAACTCTGCATTACTCTTCACATTAAAGTATGAAAGCACTTCTCTAAACAGTCTGATCTGCTGAAGAGGTACCCCTCCTCACACTTCGTGAATAGAAGAGGTAGGGGTGGAGCCCAGAGCCAGTGAGGAAGCCCGAGCTGGGACCCCATGATTTGGGCATCATGTTGAACAGTGGGGAGATTTGGGAGATGATCTGGATTATCCCTCGAGCCTCAGAGGGGTGTGAGCCCACGACCCTCAGTAGAGTGGAACAACCATGGCAGGATCAGAGCAGAGGGGAGTAGGAGGGACCACGTGGTGCAATCCAGACAAGGGCTTGGGAGCAAAGGGTGTGCATAACAAGAAAGAGGAGCAACCGCCTCTGCCAGGCACCTACAGCCAAGAACAGTGCCTGCTGTCAGCCTGCATCTGCTGGATGACTGGCTTTCTTCCCTCCCTCTTGCAAAGTCACCATCACCCACCAGCTGGATTACTTGTAGTGGGTGCTCAGGAAATGTTTGTTGAATCGAGAGGAAGCCACGGCTTCTGTGAGTCTGGATAATTCACCAGACATGGGCCTCACGGGAGGGGTGGGAATGGAGGCTAAGTAGGAGAGACAAGTCCTGGTGTCATCCTTAGCTGGAGTCGCTGTTTCTCTGTCTCTTGGGTTCCTGTGAGTCCTGGCTTTTGCAGGACCCTGGTGCAGGGAGGTTGGGGGGGTAGGGAGAGGAAGTAGGTAAGGGCAGGAAATGACTCTGGGCTGCAGGGCCAGGCCCTTGACTCCATTCAGGGTGCAACGATGTCTGATAGAGAGTCTCCTACCCTGCTGAGCGGGGAGGAATTGTCAATCCTCACCCTACCCCACTTCAGAGATCTGGCCTTTCCAGAGACCCTCCTTTTTACAGAGAAACCCTGAGCTCTACTGTTCTATTCCCAGCCCTGTACCTGCCCGCTGTGTGGCCTCCCTGTCTCTAGGCTTCAGCCTCCTCTTCAGTAGAGACAGGAGGCTAGCAGGTGATTGCTGAGATTCCTTGGTTTGGCTATACTGTGAGTCTGGGACTGGTGAGTCACCTGAATGCAAGGCAGGAACATGGGAAAGAGCCCAGGCCTGGGCTGTCCATGCCAGCTTTGAGGCTGCTTGGACCTAAGGAGCTGGAAGCCTGCAGAGAGGGAGGCCAGGCCCTGGGGGATGATGGGGAGCCAGGAGAGCCAGGTGCTGGGTGCTACCAAACCTTGCTCTCTCACCATGGTGGAGAAAGCTTGTGGCCGGGGCAGCAGTAGGCCCAAGTCAGGGTTCACCAGACTCAGACACCAGGTGCCAGCATGGGAATGCACCAGGGGCTGTGCCTGCACATGAAAACACACTTGTGCACAGGATGTGTATGTGAGGTGCAGGGAAGGGGACAGCTCCTTGCCCTCACAAGGTCACCCTGCTGAAGAATTTGCCACACCGCTCAGCCAGACACCCATCATGCCGAAGATTCTTGACTGAGCCTTTCCCTCCTCCTCTCCCCACCTGGCTCCCCAGCTCTCAGGAGCTTTGCTCAGCATCTTCCTGCAGGGCCAGGACCCCCTGTCCTGCTCCTCATACCGCCTGTGCCTCTTGCCCTTAGGCTGGTTCCTCTGGGGGGCCTGCTTCTCGGTGCCAGGCCCTTCTGGGCCCCAGCCTTGCCAGACCTGTTCTCTCTGGGATCTAGGGCCCCTGATCCTCTCTGTGGCTCAGAGCAAGTCTGGATTTCCAGCTTAGCCTCGTGGTTGTTCCATCTGGGGGACTGCTCGGAACCATCTGGCCAGGACCCAGGGCTCTCCAGGGCCCCAGGCCTAGGACTAAGTACACATGTGCTCTCCCCAGGCCCAGGTCTGCTCACCCCTCCTAGAGAGAGGTCAAGGGGAGCCAAGTCAGTCTTCTGTGGAGAGTCAGGGGCCGGACTGGCTGCTGAGGCTCCTGACTCCCCTTTTGTCTCCTCTCGGGGGACTGGGCTGATTGCCGGGGCACTCCCCAGTCTGCCCGGCCCCACCCCGCTCTGCTTCTGTGTGTGTTCCTCCTCACTGGGAGTCGTCCTGGTGCTCTGGCTTCCCTGAAACAAGAGAATGGCCCAGCTGGCTGGTGAATTCAGGTCTTGTTCTCCAGACTGCCCTGTCCTATGCCCAAGTACCCACCTGCTGACTGTCCAGTTCCTCCTTGTCTTCTTTCATATCCCACCTGTAGAAACATAGCACATGGCAGGCCCTACACCTATCCCACCCACTTCACATCACCTCCTCCGTAGCCAGTGGCCCATGTCCCCCCAGGGAGAAGCTGAAGCCCAAGGGACTCAGAGGGGGAGCAAAGCCAGAATGAGGTTCCAGGATGCTTCCCTCCCAGCCTGAGCTTGTTCCCCAAACCCAGCCATTTCCTCTGAATGCCATCCACCCTGGCCGCATCCTGGGTCCCAGCTGCTGTTTATGGCCAAGCCTGCAGCACCTTGAACTCTGTGGGGACTCCAGGCGTGTCCCCGTCTGTGCTGCCTGGGAAAGGCACACCTCGCTTCCCAGGGGAGGGGAGCTGCTGTAATTACTGCAGGCCCCCCTGGGCATCAGGCTCCTGCTGCTGCTGCCTCTGCTGATGGCCTCTCCTGGCATCTCATTAACCCACTGCCAGGCAGCAGTCAGCGAGGACACAGGGGCCCCAGGGACAGGGATGAAGCAGGCACCTGGACTGCTGCCGGTCCAGGAAATCAGGACGCCCAGATGCCTGCCTAGATTTTGTTCCCGGCCACCTGTTACCTTCGGGCCCTGCCAGTCAGCCTCTCCTTCCCTCGGGCTTTGCTGCCTGTGGCCATTGCCACTGAGGTTCTGCAGGGTTGCCCACCCCGACCTGCAAGAGATTGTCCACAATTCAAGGAGAGAAGACCATGGAAGCTGGCTCCTTCACCAGGGTCCTCCTCCCCCAACTCACCTTTTCCATCAGGAGGCAATGGTGGGGGCTGTAGCTTCCAGTGGCCCCTGGGACCTAAGGGGGCAAAGGAAAGGGGAAAGAGTGGGGTGACAAAGGATCCAAGGCAGGAATACCAGTACCTCTAGCACCAGGAAGCTGTCAGTCCTATTCCAGTTATAGGTTTTCTATCTCCCCAGAAAATCCCTGGCCTGGGGTCAGGAGAGGCAGGTTCCTGTGCCTGCTTTACCACTCTCTGGCCAAGTGACTTGACCAGCCTCTCAGGTCCCAGCTTCCTCGTATGTAAAATGAGGGGACCAGAAATCCACAGAGCTGTTCCTGCAGCAGGCCAGAGGCAGGGCCACTAGGACTGTCAGCCATTAAGGACCAGCACCTCAAAAGGACCCCAGGGCTGGCTTCCACTGAGCCTCCTCCCGGGACCTTCTGGGGTCAGAACCCGGGCAGGAGCTGTGTGCTTGGAGGGCGGGAGAGGAGGTCTTGGTGACTTCCTCTTATAGTGAGAAAGTGGAAGGAAGATGTTCTCCGAAGCTTCCTTTCAGCTCTGAAAATAAGTAGGAAACAAAGAGACAGAGAAAAGAGAGGACAAGGTGGGGGAGGTGAGAAAAGACAAGGGGAGTGTTGGCTCACCCTTTCTGCTGCCCCCCCTGCCTGGGCCCTCTTCCTGACGCTTGCTGCAGTCCTGTAGCCTGTGCAGACAGAGAAGGGAGTCAGGCTGCTGGTGGCGGGGAGGACAGAAGCCGCAGCAGGCCTCCCATTGACCCCGCTTCCCCCAACCCCAGGCCCAGAATTTGAGGGCAGCAGGGAGATGGTAGACCCAAGAAAAATGGAGACCCAATGCCCACCCAGAGCCCTGAGCTCAGGGCCTGGCCAGAGAACCCAGGCAGCTCCCCACGATCCTGGGGAGGGTCCCACCAGCCCTCCATGCAGCACCCACAGTTAGCCCTACACCAGCCCCCATGCATGTCAGCCTGGCAAGCTGCCTAGCCCAGCCACCCACGTGGGCTTGGCCTTGTCCAGGTCCCACGGGCGGCGCCAGTCACCCTGCGCATCTCTGTGCCGAGCAAGGCGGGCCAGGTCAATCTGCTCCCGCTCCTGCTTCCACTGGACGTAGTCCCAGCCCACCTCCGGGGGCTCCCCCACTGGCTGTTGGGGAGCTGGGCCTGGGACCACACCTGGACTCCGGGGTTCCTGAGCACCCTTCAAGGAGAAGACACTCAGCACCATGGGGTAGAAGCAGGAGGAGGCTTGGGGTGGAGATCCAGAGACACTACTAACCCCTTCCTCTCTCAAGGTTTCCATGTCTCCATCTAAAAATTAGGTCTGTTCCATCTCTAAAGAGCTGTATTTGCCGTGAGCACAGTTCCATCCACTGTAAGCTGCATGTTATGGGCAAGTAACTTAACCTCTCTGTGTATCATTTCCTCATCTGTAAAATGGGGATAACAATAGCACCTACCCTCAGGGTTGTCACAGGGGTGTATGGACAGGCCCAGGGTGGAAGGGGCACCAGAGGCTGTGAGCAAGAGCAAGGACTGGGGCTGCTGCCACCTAGAGGTCACACCTGGCACATGGCCAGTCCCCTACTCCCTCTCGCCCCCTTGCACATCCCCCTGCCACCAGTGGGTCTAGAGAGGGTAGTGGGCTAGATGACATTTCTGGCAGCAGCTGTCTCTCCCTGCAAGCTCCACCCAAGGTGGAGACTGGCCAGAGAAAGGAGAGGGAGGGGTGGGAATTCTTACAGGTGCTGCCTAGGCCATGTCCCACAAAAGAGGGACATATCTGACTCAGCTTCTCTGCCTCTCCCAAGTGAGGACTGTCACATTCATGTCCCCATCCCCTCTTGAAGATGTACCTTCCGTGAAGAATCCAAGCTGATGGCCATCTGCACGGGGGGGCTCCGGCCCACGCCCCCTCCAGGTGACCTATCTGCCCCCTGGTTCCTTACTCTGGTGGGCTTTTCACTTACGATCCGTTTGGCCTGGGGAAGGTGGAGATGGGCAGTGTGGCAGAGCCGGGGGAGAAGAGGCTGCTTGGACTTCCCCACCCGCCCTGCTCACCTTGGCTTTGTTTTCCATGGTCACCGCCAGTTCCACCCGCTCCCCCAAGCAGAAAGTACCCGTGCAGTGCTCATCCTCAAGCATCTCACTGGCAGCTTCAGGTCCAAGGGTGCTCCTTGCCCAGCTCCTGCTGACTACCCGCTTCTCCTGCACAGAGAAGTGCCCCTGCCCTCAGGCCACACAGGCAGCTCTGGGCAAGACCCAGGGGCTGGGTCCTTTGGGTGCTTCCGCAGACCTGGGTTCCAGCCCAGGCCCTCCCTGGAATGCCCACAGAGAAGCTGACTCCTACAGGGTGTTCACATGCCAAAGGCATTAGGTTATCCAAGGCCCAGCGCCACTCTGGATAACCTAATGCAACAGTGGCCTGTCATCTCTGAGCCGGGAAATCCGGAGCACTCAGACAAGGGGGCTTTGTCCCTCAGACACTGTTCCTGGCACTCAGCACAACTTCTCTGTCCCCCACTTCCCACAGGGTTTTGAGCCCTTGGGGTTTGGGGTTATGAGCAGCCTGTGCTTTGAGGCATAGGTGCAGGGTTGTAGGACTAGAAAAGGGTATGAGGGGACTTCTATTTGGTGGCCTTTCAGCTTTGGCCCTTGGGGGTAGGGGAACAGCAGCGGCCTGGGCTGTATGAGATGCACCCAGAGCAGTATGTGGGAGAAGAGGAGCAGGGTGGTTTTCCTCCCCTGACATGGGCTGGGCCTCTACCTCCTGGCAACCCTGCGCTACCTCCCTGGGTGAGGCTTACACCAGGAATTTGGCTGATGGTGACAGTGAGGCCATCGGATTGGAGGAGCCCTGGCATGGTCACAGCCATGCCCCCCTGCTCTGCTTGCCGACGGTCTTCCTGGATCTCCTACAGGAAAGCCCAAGGTCAGCACAGGCCACGGCCTCCCAGACACATAGAGACACAGACACTGATAGGGTCTACACAGACACTAGGGGGACACCAGGGGACAGAAGCACCACATCACAAGTGCCCGAGACCCTGACCAAGCCTCTGAAAGGGACTATGACCACCCTAATCCCAGCCCCAGACCCAGAGATTCATCCCTGAGCCCACAGGGAAAGACCGCCATGCAGGCATCTCGCATCCACCAGGGAGTGCCTGCCAAGTCGGTCCTCCCAGCCCTTGACGCTGCCCACGCACCTGGTACCTGCGTAGTAAGGCCTGGTTCTTCTTGCGCAGGGCAACTATCCTCCGATCCAGCTCTGCATCCTTCTCCTGCCTGCTCATCAGGGACTCGGCTCTGTGAGGCCCCTGCAGAGGGCAGGGAACCTCTGCTCCTGACTGCTGGGCCCTTACTAGTTATCCAACTTTCACATTCGCCCACCTAACCTAATTCTTACCACCCAAGGCACAGATCCCAGACCCACATGAAGGAAGGGGATTGCTCAGGGAGATGGCCCATAGAAGGCTCCAGCCCCCCATCCCAGCTAGGCCTATCTCTGCCTCCTCGAGGGGCTCAGGTCAGGGCCTAATACCCAGGGCCACAGCTCCCAGCAGTTGGCCGCCCCTCCCCCTGGCTCTCCAGGGAGCTCCACTGCTGAGCAGAGCCTGGAATGGGAGTTATAAATGGCTCTGGCAGCAGAACCTGCCGTGACTGGGAAGCTGCCAGGGGATTTGGGAGGTCGAGGGGGGAGCTGTTTGGCTCCCAGATCCAGAACCACAGAAAAAAGAAAGACCCAGCTCCATCCTGGACTCTTAGGCCCTGGACCCCAATCCCCAAGGCCTGTGCCCAGCCCATAGGGAAGAGCCACTCCTGCAGGCCCAGCCCCTCAGGCCGTGAGCTGCTGGCAATCATGGCAGGAGAGAGCCAGCTCCATTGGCAGCCCCCGCCAGGAGCTGCCCTAGGCAAGCCGTGTCTCTGCATCAAGATCGCGGGTCCCTCCCTGTGTAGCTGCAGGGTCTCTGTTGTGACCAGTGTCCCTGCCCAGCCCTCTACCCGCCTGGTCACAGCCCTCTTCCTCCCAGGCCCAGCTGTCCCAAGCTGCCGCCAGAGTGTTGCTGCCCCGTATCCCAGCCCCCTCCCAGCCCCAAGAAGCCCCCCACCAAAGGCAAGGTGCCACTCACAGCCGAGTGCATGGCAACAGCGGGCACTGAGAGAATTCCAGAGCAGCCCTGGGGGAGCCAGAGCAGGAGGGAAGCCGGAGCCACCGGAGCCGGGCCTCTGCCGGCCTCTCCCTGTCGGCTTCGCTACTCAGCACACGAGATCATGTTGTGATTACAAAAGACTCCTCTGGGCTCCCAGCCAGGAACGCTGCAGCCGCCACCCCCACCCTTCCCCTCTCAGAGGGCGAGGACCAGGGCACTGGCAGCCAGCTGGTCCTGTCCAGCACCTCTCCCCGCACTGCCCCAATGTCCCCAGAGAGACTGGCAGGGACTTCCTGGTGGGCCAAGCCTTCACCTGCCTGAGGGCCTGTGCCCCAGCAGGACCCCAACCCGGCCCTGCCTGCAGACAAGATGGGCAGCCAGCATAGGCTTCCGTCCCTCCCACCAGTAGAAAAAGGCCTACAGGACACAGCCCGGCCCACCAGGCTTCTTGGTCTGAGGGCCCCACCTCGAATGTGCCTCCCTCTCCTGCTCACTCGCCTCATCAGCACCAGCTTAAGGCATTCGAAGGGTTCAAGAAGCTTTCCTCCCCTAGGCCACCAAATACTACCACATACCTAAAATAACACTGTTAGTCACTCATTCCTTTAGGCTGGACATTATCTTCTCTATATTTTAAAGTGCAGCCACTCCAGGGAGGCTCAGCTGCTTGGGTTCCTGGCCCCTTGGCATGGTGGGCCGGGCCTTCCTCCAGGGCCCTTGTCATCACAGTGCAGAGATGGCCAATAGCCTTCCTCCCTCAGGCTCCTAACTCTAGGCTCTTACCAGCCTTGCTGTCCAAGACTGGCCCTTTCAACCTTTCTGACCCTGAGAAAGGAGTCAGCCCTTATCAAGAGAGCCTCTCCCCAACTCTTCCTCCTACATCTGAGGCTGGTCTCCTCCTGCCTGGAAGTCCCACCCAAGAGTCTTCTGGACCTGAGGCTTTGGGGTGCCAAGAGGAGGGTGGTCTCTCTGTATCAGGACTTTCAGTAGTCACAAGGCCCTTGCATCCCCCGTATCCTTGATTGACCAGACTTCAGTTTCCCTAACCCCACACTACAACCTGTCCCCTCTGTCTCCAGAGCAGAACATCCACTGCCTTCTCTTTTGTCCCCAGGCCTCTACTCCCATGAACTGCCCTTTCCTCCCCCCTTTGCTCCCCACCATGCTTAGTCCCCTTCCTGTCCATGCCTTCGCAGCACCCCTGGCCCCACACCTCATCTCACCCCATCTCACCGTCCCAGAGTTCCCATCCTGCTTGCAAATGCCACTGTGCTCCCTCTCCCTTTCCTGCCGGATGTTCCCACTGAGTCAGCCTCTTCTACTTTCCCAGCAAATGTGACGCACCCAGGCTCCTCACCCTGGGCCTCTCTCTGTCACACACCCATTCACACACTCACTTGCTCCTTCTCCCACCCTCTCTGCATCTCTGCATCCTGCCCCACACAGGCTGCCTAGCCTCAGAAGCCTCCAGAAGCCTCAAGCTTCCCATCACCTGCCTCACACTTTGGAGCTGGGAGGCCCGCAGAGCACTGGTCTGGGACAGAGATCCAATGCTCTCCACCTTCTTTCAACTCAGGCCCCAGTCCAGGTCTGGGGAGGAGGGGTGTATATAGAGGAGGCTGCAGGACCTTTGTCCCCCTATCACCATTCCCAGCCAGGGTGGACGCCTCTTTGCAGTAGGGGAGCAGCAGGCCCAGGTGGGAATCCAGCCATTCCTTAGGGAGGGTGACCCAGCTCTTCTGGAAGGATCTGCAGGGAGAGACTCCCCTAACCAAGAGGCAAAGGCCTCCTGGCCCCTCAGGCGGAGGCCCACATGTCAGCACAAACCTGCAGCCAGACAGGAACCCCCAGCTGCTGGCTGTGTGCTTGCCAAGTGTTACTCACACAATATGTCACACCTCTGAGCAGCCCCCACATTCTCCTGCTTTCTCCAGAGTTTGTGGTTTGTCTATCTGTTCTCCCCTTGTACAGAGGTCTCCTGAGGGCAGGAATGGTGCGCCAAGTACCTCTGTATACCTAGAGCCTGGCACAGTGCCCCTGCATACCACAGACCTTCCATCAGCACTTGCCGAATGAATAGGAGTGAATAACCCATGCATCCTGTGCATTACTCTGGGTGTCCTATCCTGTGACTGCCTTTCCGTCCACCTAGAACGCACGCAGCCCTGAGGGAGCCCGTGGGTGCCCCCCTCTGTCCTGGGGAGAAGTCCACAGAAAGCAAGGGAGGGAGGCGGATGACCTGCGACATGTTCCCCAGTGAGAACGTCTCTGTTACTCAGTGCTACCACGAGGGGGCAGCAGAGTTACAAAAGCCTGGTTACGGGGCGGGGGTTCTCCTCCCCTCCTGCTCCCCTGCTCCTCCTCCCGTCTCCGAACCCCACCTCCAAACTTCGTCAGACTAGAGAAGCCATCCGGTTGTAGAAGCCTTATTTTATTGATGAGGAACCTGAGGCCCAGAGAGGTGGCGCCATCTGCCCAGGACACCCAACCTGTTTGTGGCACAGACGAGACTGGAAGCCAGGGTGCTGCCTCCCTGACCATGGCTCTTTTCACCAGCTGTCCCGCCGACGCTGTCTCTGCTGAGACTTCACTCAGTGCCTTCCCTCTCTCCACCTAGGGTTGGGCCAGTTGTCCCGGTCTCTTCCCTGCCTGATCCCCACCCTCCCAGGCTACCTGCTAGCTCAGGCGACAGCCCCAGCCCCGGGCAAACCACATTTGGACTTTATTCACAGTTCTTAGAACACAGACCTGGAGCCAACCCTGAGGACAAGAAGGCTGGAAGTCGGGATTCTCACTGAGGAGACCAGGGGAGGAAAGACCCTGTGGACCACACCCTGAGAGACCGGGAGCACAAACCTGGCAGAGGCTCCACCCGTGGGGCCAGTGCTACTCAGACGTCATTTACCGTTTCCGGAATGGCTGATCAATAAAATATAAGCAATCTGGCCCTTGCCCTTCTCCTCAACCTTGTCATAAGATAAGGCAGAGTGGGACGGTGGATTCCAGATTAGCTTCACCCCTCACTGGCTGTGTCCCTTATTTCCTGGTCCTCATCTATGAAATGAAGTGTATGTACTTCACCAGTTATTTGAAGTGAAATAACGTGGGTAACATCCATATCGGGAGCGATGTGTGGCTCAGAGTAAAACTCACCTCCAGTAACTGTGTAGCCACCTTCCAGATGGGGCTACAGAGGCCCCAAAGGCTGCCTCCCACCAGCCCACTGGGGCCTGAACACATTGAAGACTTCTGGGTTATGGGGACCATCTGAGGAACCCCCTCAGCATCCTCTCTGTGCCTCCCTTCAGGATTCCTGCCCAGCAAATCCTGTAAGGCCAGGCTCCTGCCCCACCCGCTCCAGGGAGTCTTCCCTATCTGTTCCCCTCCCCCATGCCCTCTCTCTGAAGTCCCGGGCTCTGGTTGCCATCGGTCCCCAGCCAGCACTGGTGCTTCTGGAAGCAGTCCCTGTGTTTCACCTGCCTCTGGATCCCACCAGGCCCAGTTCCAGGCTCACATCCCTTTCTTCTTGGCTGGGGGCTGAGCCCTCAGAAGGTCACTGGTGCCACTTGCCAGTTCTGGGTGGGTCAGTGAGTGTTGAGGAAGAGGCTGGGCAAGGCTGGATTGCATGACAGCCCATCTACTAGGCAGGTGACGCTCCAGATGGGAAGGAGCAAAAGGGTGGTTTATGCACAGTGTTTCTTTTTTTTTAATTGTACTTTGTTGATATACATTGTGGTTGATTATTGTGGCCTATTACCAAAACCTCTCTCCCTCCTCCCTCTCCTCCCTCCCACCCAATGATGTCCTTACTGTTTGCTTGTCGTATCAACTTCAAGTAATCGTAGTTGTTATATCTTCTTCCCCCTCCCCCGGTTTTTTTGTGTGTGTGTGTGTGTGTGTGTGAATTTATTTATTAAGTTTTAGCTCCCACCAATAAGTGAGAACATGTGGTATTTCTCTTTCTGTGCCTGACTCGTTTCACTTAATATAATTCTCTCAAGGTCCATCCATGTTGTTGCAAATGGCAGTATTTCATTCGTTTTTATAGCTGAGTAGTATTCCATTGTGTAGATGTACCACATTTTCCGTATCCACTCATCCGATGATGGACATTTGGGCTGGTTCCAACTCTTGGCTATTGTAAAGAGTGCTGCAATGAACATTGGGGAACAGGTATACCTTCGACTATGCACAGTGTTTCTTTCCTACAAACCCACTCCCACTTTCCAGGCCCCCATGGCCATTCCTTTCTTGAGAAACTGCTGTCCTGACTCCTAGGACTAGGGGTCTGTGTGCAGGCTTCTTGGTCAGGCCACGCGTGGCCCTGGGTGGGGAAATTCTGAGTATGTGAGGTGGGGCTGAAGGGATCAATCCCAGGCAGGCTCCAGCTGCCAGGGTCAAAGGCTGGGCCATGTTTTCCCCAAGAATACACATCCCAGAGCAGGGTGGGGCCCAGGCCTATGCCCTTTGAGGTTTCTGGAGGCAGAAGGAAGGTGGGGCTGGGGACTCCCGCCTGCATTATGCTCTCCAGGGCACACCCAGGGGGTGGGGCGCCTGAGCTTTCCAGCTCTGGGCCCAGCAGTGGGAGGTGAACCCTGGTGTGAAACTGAACCCCTGGGGTCTCCCTTGTATGAGGCTCTGTTCTCCATGGTGGGTGCAAGGGGGACTCACAGTGTTTTCCCAGAACTCCCCACCTCACCACCAGTCTAGAGCTGCCCACAAGCAGAGGCTGAGTGCTGCTGCTGTCAGGGCTTGCCCAGGACATGCCATCAGAGGGACACCTAATGTGTGCTTCACCTGATGAGGCAATGCAGAAAAAGGAGGGAAGACCCAGGCTCCACCTCAGAGGCACTTGCCAATAGCAGGTGACACAGAGCTCAGGCCCACCCAGGAGTTCTCCAGAAGGAGCTGAACTTCAAGGGGTTGAGCAAGACTCAGGCAAGTGGATGGCAGTGAGAGGGCCTCCTGTGAGCAAGGAGAGAGCACAGCATGGGAAAAGGCAGGGAAGTGGCTGGCTTTCACCAGCAAGAGGACATTAGGTTAGGAAGGTACAGATCAGCCTGGGGAGGGCAGACTGAGGAGGTGAAGTGGTCCGTTTTACAGCAGAGGCTGAGGAAGCCACA